GGGTGGCCACAAATGTCACGATCCAGACCATCTGGAGAGGGGACACGGTCAGCTGCGGCACGGCCTCCCCGCCGGCACCTGCAAGCCTCAGGGAGGGTGGAGAAACCCTCCCCAAGGACAAGAGCAAAGCCACGGGGCCAGTCAATGCCTTACCAGGTCCACCCGGTTGGACTTCCAGAGCACGCGGAAGTCATTGAACTGCTTGAACATGCCCTTGAGGTTGACGATGATGATGGCAGCCAAGATGGCCTAGGAGAGAAGTCCCTGCAGCTATAAGGATGCTGAGGGCAGGTCTGGAGGGGCCCTTGGGTGTTGCCCTGCCACACCACCTTGCCATGGGATGGGCACAGGGGTGGGACGTGGCACCAGATGTACTTTTTTTTCTCCGATCTTCAGGATGGTCACCAGGATGACCAGGGATGCAATGACACCGGCTACCTGAGGGGAAGGAGAGCAGGAGGCAAGAGGTGACCCCCGCACCGCTTGCTGTGCTCCTCGCCCCTGGTCCAGCCCCACAGAGGGAGGCAGCGCTGCCCAGGCCCACCTGGCTGTTGCCCCCTGTGCTCTCCTGCACTAGGCTCCGTGACATGGAGCAGCTGATGGCGAAACACTGGAAGAAGCCCCCCAGGAAGTTGCAGAGGCCCAGCGCGATCAGCTCCTGCAAGGACAGAGCAGCGGTGGGGGAGCACTGTGCCTTCCCCCAGCTGCAAGAAGTACAAACTTGGTTTTCACCCAGGGAAGGGGCCCTGCTCGTTGGAGCATCACCTGGTTGCTGTCCACTTTGTAGCCATGCTTCAGGGCAAAGATCTTGCCCAGGGAGATGCAGATGGCGTAGCCCACCACAGCAATGGCGAAGGCATTACCTGCCACCTGCCCGAAGTAGCTGACGTTAGGGGCCACGGGTGCCTTCAGCCTGCAGCCAAGACAAAGAGATGGGGCTCAAAAGGGGGGGTTCTGTGGGTGTCATGGTGCCCTGGCGCAGCCACCCTCACCACCCAGCCCTGCTCACCCGCTGGGGATGTTGCCCACCACGGAGATGCCAAACTTGGCGTTCAGGTTGACACCGTAGGAGATGCCAGTGGAGATGATGATCTGGGGGAGGATGGTTGGAGTGAGGCAGGGCCTTCTTGTATGGGGACCATGGTGGAGGAGGAGGAGGAGGGAAAGCATGCCCTGGAGCTGCACTTGCCAAGGCACCCCGTCCCACCCCTCCCCACCCTGGGAGGGACAGGGCTGCATCCCCACAGGGAGGTGGGGCAGCACTGGGTACCGTGATAAGCTCAATGGGGATGGGCATGGGCAGCTTGGCAGCGAACTTGTGGTTGAGCTCTTTCACGATGTAGATGGCCACCATGGCAATGATGGCTGTCACCAGGGTGCCCACATTGGTCTCTGGCAGCTTGCGGCAGATCTCGATGAAGGTCTAGAGGATGCAGGAGGAGGGAAAGGGCTCGGGAAAGCAGATGCCTACCTGGCAAGTTTTTGGGGGGCCTCTATGTGCCCCACAGGTGAGTGCCCAGGGGGTCCCAGGCAGCAGCGAGCCCCCACTCACCTTAAACATCGAGAGTGGCCCTGAGTACTCGCCCACGGCGACCCCAAAGACATTCTTGAGCTGGGAGATGAGGACATGCACAGAGGCAGCAGTGGTGTAGCCACGCACCAGTGGGTCTGAGAGGTAGGTCACAACAAAGCCGAACTGCAGGAGGCCCAGGGCCACCTGGAAGGAGAGGCAGCAGAAGTGACCCACAGCTTGCAGCCCTGGGGCACCACGGCTCCCCACTCCCTGCCAGGCTAGGCTGGGGCCCCCTTACCTGGAAAATGCCCGATAGGACAGTGATGGTGGCCACCAGCTCCACCCTGGCAGCGTCCCGCCATGCCTCATTGACCGTCATGTTGCTGCCATTGACAGACTCCAGGAAATTCTCACTGGGCAGCAGGGAGTCTGTCAAGCTCCCGATCATGACGGAGATGACAGCGAAGGGACCTGGGGACAGGCAGGGTGTGGGCAGGGAGCCCAAGGTCAGCACCAGGACCTCTCTGAGGTCCACAGGCACCTGTCCCCTTCGGCTGGGCTTGAAGCACCCACTGTGCATTGGCTCTGGTTTGGCCAACCACCTTCTTGGTGGGGCAAAGTAAAGGCAAGAAAGGTCCCCACAACTATTGATGTGGCAATGCTGTGCTGTGGATGAAGGCTCGGCCCTCTCATCATCATTCCCTCCCCGCTGACCCCATGGGAACACATGGTCCCTCAGCTCACCCACGGAGTTGTGCCTGGATGTCCCGAAGAAGAAGTAGAGGAAGACAGGGTAAAATGAGGAGTAGAGACCGGTGACGGGTGGCAGCCCGGCCAGCAGCGCATAGGCAAGTCCTGGATATGGTAGAGCAGGGAGACACATCACGGATGGCTGAGCCCTGGCCCCCCCAACCTGCAGGGAGGCCCCAGCAGCCTGGGCTTGGCATCACTCACCCTGGGGCAGGTGCATGATGCCCACGCTGAAGCCCGAGGCGATGTCCCCCAGGAGCCAGTCCTTGACGGGGTAGCGGGGCACCCAGCGCAGGAAGGGCAGGAACCGGAAGAGCAGGGACTTGGCAGTGGAGGCCGAGCATCTGGCGGGGAAGGAGCAGGAGTCGGGGCTGAGCACAAGCACAGGGGCTTGGGGACATCAGTGGGGGGTGGATGGTGCCCCATGGGAAGCAATGGGTCCTGTGAAACCTCCAGCTCCGTCCACAAACGAGGTGTCCCTCCAGGCAGGAGGACAGAGTGGGACATGGGTGTTTGGGCTTAGAGGAACCAACCCCCGGGTCAGCACCGAGTCTACCCCAGGGACTGGGGCAGCCAGAGCCAGGCTCCCGGTGGCAGTGGGGCTGGGGTGCACGGTGCCTGGCGGAGTCCAGGCACATCCCCCTGTCCAGTGCGGTCCTACCTGGTCTTGCGGAGATAGCTGCGCAGTGAGGGCTGGGCGGGAGGTTTCCGCTGTGCCACGTCCTCCAGGTCGGCCTCGCTCAGCACGTCGCAGGGCCCCCGGTGGCTCAGCACCATCTCTGCCACCATGGCTGCCCGGCCCTCCCGTGTGCCAGCGCGCTGCGGGGAGATGAGGGACGGCTCAGCCCCATCCCCACGGCCGGGGGCACCCGGCACCCTACCCACCCTGCAACCCCTCCTGCAGCCCCACTGGCTGCACAGAGCCATCCCATCCTGGCCATGCGTGCCGGATCAGCCCCGAGGCCAGGGGTGAACTGAGTTTTGGGAATCCTGAAGGAGCGGCAGCAGCTCGCGACAGAAAGCGGCAGGCAGCTGGCGTGTGGGCAGGGAGGGA